AGCCTGGTGAGTATCTGCCAAATGACAGGAACAGTGAAAACATACAAAATGCTATCAAATTGGAACCGATGACCTCATGTCTGAAAAACATTAAAAAAATACAACCCTTAGTATGAAAGTAGAGGTGAGATTTTTCATCATTTAAGTTTCATTTTTTTGTCAAAGCACTTACAAAGAAAATAATTTTATATTTATGAAATGTTAGTGTTGCATATTTTTGTAAAGATGATCTATTTCAATTTTATATAATGGATATTTAAATYATTACTATTTTTACAAAGTAGAATAGGGCAGTCTTTTTGATCAACAACATTCTGTTTGCTTCTTAAAAATTTAGACAAAGTTCCTAGTGCATTTTACTAAGCTTTACCTTTGGTGTTAAGCAGTGACTTTTTAGATTTCCCTTTTAAACAATTTCTGGAGTGAGGATTCTTTGGCTTTGGGGGACTACACTATCTAACGACAGTCAGACATCCTGGGTTTGTTTGTTTGTTTTTTTTTAAAAGAAAAATATAAGTCTACTATTAGATACTGYAAGAGATACAGATTTCAGAATCAGACAGATGCAATATGCAGGCTTCTGTAATGAAATCGCCAACAGCCRAATTCTCACTTACCCTGGATGCCTTCACCTCTCCACTCGCTGGAGCAACATAAAGGTGCCTTTTTGTAAGTGAAAACCAGGCCCTGTTTGTTTTGGCTAATCCRAGCACTGAGTGTGTTGCCTGAACATTTTAACCGTACAAAGGAATCGACTGTGCCAGCAGGAACATTGCCACGGTGGCTGTTTTACACTACAGCACTTCCTGAACTATTTTATATCCGGARTCCAAATCTGTTTATGCAAAAGGGTGTTTAAATTACTCTGCTAGAGCACTGCAATTATTGTACTTAGTAAAAAAAGTCACTAAACAAATACTGTATCTATCGACTGCTCATTTACAGCTTATTTAATTATTTACATAATTTTAGGACACATTAACCTAAACCATAAGTAGAATTAGCTTTTTGCCTTACCATAAAGTACAAATTAGAAGTTAAAAATGTTTAAGAAATCTGATAATATTTACACACGTTCAGCTTAAGTTATGGTTGCTCACATTGTATGTTCTATGTACACATAGCAAAATGTTATGACCACTACTGATATAGTATTGTACCCTGGCCATCCCACCCTAGATTATTTTCTAGAAATAGTTACTATTTTTGCCTTTTTTTTTTTCTTTTTTTGTTCTCGGTTCCCTAAGGAGTTTGTTGGTTTGAAAACTTACTAGTGGACAATGCTGTTATAAAAAGAGAGAGAAGAAATAGGCAAGCAATGTGAGGACTAGACTAATTCCAGATGCAAGGAGGTACAGTACTATCATCATGTCAAACGGTGCAATGCTCCATACGAATCATAAGCATTGATCTGCTGATAATAGAAATGCCCAGTTACCCTGTATAGTAAGTTGTTTGGTTTTGTTTTTTGTTTTGTTTTTTGTTTTTTTTAAATACATTAATCTTTTTTCTTTYTTCTCAAAAATATATTCATACACTGGTTGATGGTAGAAACAAAACTATTATTAGCTTATTCCTTTAACACACCAACATGTGAATGTGTGTGCATATATATATACTCAGCTCGTGTATATATACACACATATGTCCATACAGACATTGGGGGGGTGTCCATATGCACATACAGTTGGAAAATGTTTCACATCCCTTCACTTATGTTCAGCACTGTGTTATAGCATTGGAACACAGTCTCAGAATTACAGTGAAAATTAATYGACGTTTAATTTTAATGCATATTTTTTTCTGAAATAAACAGGATATTTTCCCCAGGTGCAAGACCATCACTCATTTTCTCTATGCATTGTGCTTTTTGTACCTTACAGATTTTATGTCCTTTTTATTAGAATGTAAGAACTCACTGAAGAACTCTGCTACGTGCTGTTACCTAGGACTCTGTTTTCCTCCCCTGGGAATGAGAAAAGAAATGGTCACAATGTCATTGCTTGAGTCTTTCTTCCCAGTCATTGAACTGCGATAGGATAGAAACATAACATTCCTTATGCAAACACAGAAATATGTTGCATGAATTTTCAGTTCTGAAAATGTGGTTCATACTTACTAGCAGTCATGTACAGTATATATTTACAGATTGATCTCAAAGATTTCATTAAAACTGTGCCATGTTATAGTCATAATTCRCCCATGAATTTCACAAAGATGAAAAACACCTTAATTGCTGGCTATTATGTCTAATAGAACAATAAAATGTGCAACTATAATTATATTACAAGTTTTATCTAAATTATTAACTTTGCTATTTTGTTCATTGAAACCAACAACGATTAACACGATTAAAAAGATCTAGAATATTCATTTTCGGTCAATTCTAAAGTAAAAGCAAATTTATTTCTAGTTTACCTGGAGGGCAGCACACAGCAAACCCCGTATCTCCCATACCTTGTCATCCTTTCTCACTTTCACTCAAGTATCTCAGAAGAGGAGTAAGTGCTCACCTTGGGCTCGAGTTATGCTTTTTCCTTGACAGTGCCTCACCAGCCTTTCTCACCCCCATCTTTTTATATCACAGTGTTAAGCCTTAGTACAAAATGATAGAATCTTTCTCTTTCACTAATTTTATACATCACATTAATAGCCAGAAGGACATAGTAAAAGCAAAGTGCTCCTTCCCCACAGATAATTTACCTTTCCTAGTGACACCTGAGCAGAAACCAAACATTTTCTTTCACTCTCTGAACAGCAACATCAGAGAGTATTATGGCTTGTACTGTAGCTTCAGAAAAGTGAATGTGCAGTTCCAGGATTCGATCTCTGTGGTTTTTGTAATAGCTGAAGCAGTTACCAATGCAGAGAGTCAACATATTCTCTGTAAGGTTTTATATTTGATGTGTATCAGCCACAGACAGGCTGTGAGCTCCCTGCAGTCACACTGCTTCTGTGAAACAAAAACAGGASCTGGCAGCAATCTCTGAAACGAAAGAAAAGCTTGTACAGAAGAATACTATAAGACTGCTTTCATTTAGGAGAATTATACCATTTTTAAAGATCAGACTTTGAAGAGAAATACTGAATTGTGATGTGGCTCCATTTCTCAGAATCGGGAAAAAATTCCAATGTGATTCTTACCTATCAGCTGAAATGCCAAGTGCATCTACAAAGGTTATTGCATTGTGCATGAAATGCAGTCACAAATTAAATATGTGAACAAAGTGCAAAGTTTTGACTTGGAAAGTTAATTACATGTGGAAAACCTGTCTCTACATATTGCAGAGTCTGAGCCTGGAGGCAGTGTGTSAATGTACACAACTTCCTGGCAGGTAGGGTGTATTGCAAATCCCATCTCAGGCTCCAAAACTATCCTCTCCCATTTGAACCTTAAATAAGCATA